TTTTATTAAGACAAAATAAATAATTAATGAGAGACAGAGAAAATCTCCACACAATGGATTTGGAACCAGAGCTGGGTAACTCAACTCCGGAGTTGAGGGTTTTTGTTGCGCAGTTGGAGTTGGCTTTTTAAACGCCCGGAGTTGAGTTGATGACAGATTCCAACTCCGAAACTCCAGTTCACAATTTCTTCAACTCCATTTCCTTTTCTTCGCGAGAGTTCTTTTTATCTGATTTTTATCTATTTTTGTCGCGAGCGATATAAACGTGTGCTCAGTATATAATAACATATGATACACTTTACATCTGGTTGCACATGTATCACACGGAAGGCATGGAAATGCGTGTTGTGATCATATGATAGGTTCGAAAGGGAAGAAAAAGAGAAAAATCTGCTCAGATTGTGATAATCTTAGTTCTCAGAACAGCGAATATGCTTTCAAAATTAACATTATTGAAATGTAATTTTGATTTATTATAATGATTTTTTTGTGCATACTATTATAAAAGAAAACATGATCGTTATACGGACAAATTAAAAAACAGGAAGGCAAAAGAACAAACAGATTTCAACTCGGAGTTGAAGTGGAGTTGAAGTTGAGCCCCTTGGAGTTTGAGTTTAGATTGCTTAGCGGAGTTGGAGTTGTACCTAGCCGGAGTTTGGAACAAGTGTGGTTATTATTCTAATTTCAATGGTACCCGATTTATCTATGTCGGGCACGAAACAATCTACTGTACACGCCTACGCGCGTATTTAGTACAGTCACGATAACGATGGAGATATATCTAAGAATACTATTCATTATGTCGAGACAAGATATGTATTTCTATCATTCATTGTCGAACTACCTGGGAGATTTCAAAATGACCAAATTACAGATGAGTTATGTCTATTCATCGTGCTGATAAGTATTACAATAGATTGGAGTTTGAAGGAATTAAAAACTAATTATTGTCGAAAAATAATATTTTCGTTAAAAGTCGTGGATAATTTATCTATCTGTTCGATGAAATGAAATGACCGACAATTCTTGATGATATAAAATTTAAAAAATCATTACTCGTCGGCTATCGTCACAATTTTCATTATTGTTACATGATATCTTAATAAGCAAAAATACTAATTAATTAATTATTAAACGAAAATACAAATTACTGATCCTGATGTTGACAGTACTTTTCAAATTAATAATAAAAAGAAAAATACCAGCAAAATTGGTACGCATTGATATTTGAAACAAGAAACTATTAACTTCAAGGGAATGAAGTGTGATGTACCCAATGTTTGTGTAACAGATGTTTCCCTAAATCAGGAGATTAGAATAAGTACCTCCCAGAAAGTAAAGCGTGGAGTTACGAAGATCCCTCCTTCTTTATTTCGTTGAATTGTTGCCGTTTGGGTGACTTCAACGTTGATATGAAGGACCCAAAGAATAAGGATATTGAAAAGCTGACTAACTGCGGATAGTTGTTTTTAGCCGCGGAAATACCTGATATTTCCACCTCCTTAAGGTCAAATAGGAAAATCGACTATGTGTTTGCTAAAGAAATTCTAGTTTCAATTCAAACTTGTGAGATTGGCACAATTAGTAACCATCTATTTGTATTAGTGGTTTTATCAAATGAAAGAATGGAGTTACGTTTAGGTACTAATTCTTGTCGAAAAGTAATATTTTCGTTAAAAGTCGTGGATGATTCAAACGAAATAAAAAACTCTTGATGATATAAAATTTAAAACTTCATTTATTTCTGTCCAAACATCTGGAGCAGTCTTTAATAGAAAGATTTTCGACTTCGAAAGCATCAGTTTCGCTTTGGTCAGCTGAAACGCAATTTTTTAAAGTCTCACCCTCTTTAAAAGGATTTGTAGGTGGGAAATGAGTAGTTATTAGAGAAACTGATGAGATGTTAGATGCGGCAGCCGGTTAATATAAAAAAAATTATTCGAAAAACAAGTTGTAATGCTTTTCTTCTACTCTGTTTATAACTTCTCATTGAGACTATGGACTTTTCTCATTAATAGTTCTCAAAATAGTTTTGCTGATGACCTAGCAGATGCTGTAGTTGTATTGATTTGGAAAAAAGGATTATTGATTTTTTTCAGCAAAAATTGAATTTCAAGACTTTTGAGCTTTATTCATGAATAAAATCGAGCAAAAACTATTTGCTGAACTACTTTTCTCTGTAATTTCATAACGCTTTGAAATACACAAAAATTTTAAAACAAAAACATGTACAAAAGAAGTTTCTAGTTAATTTTCTGTCCTTCATAAACTGGTGGTTGTTTCTCGTTATGTAATTCTACAAACGATTTTTCTACTTCTTCTTTCAATGGTTCATCTTGATGTTTTCGATGTGGTATATCAGAATATTGGACCTCTTTTACTGGTGGTTTATCCATAAACATGCCTGGTCGTTCGAGAGGAAAACGAACATGTGATCCTCTCATTTTCAATACACCAAACATTTTTCCAAACGGTACTTCTTCTTCATTTTTAAGTGTTTCATCAATTTTTTTTATGGCATCAATTGTTGTCATAATATTCACCACTTGATCATCATATTTTGATCCCACAGTCCACAATGATTCCAAATCTGTTTGTTCACGTAATTCACTGTCCATTAAATGTAAAACAATGTGACCTAGATAAAATAAATAATTTTTAAATTTTTATTCTATTCGTAATAATTCTTGTTGGCATCTTACCCATATCCATAGCATGCCATTTATTTCCATTTCTCGTCTCTGAATTTAAATATGGATCATTATTATGTTTTTTGGCTTTGTACTTGAAGCAAAAATGAATAAAGAGTCTAAACTTGAAAAAAATATGTCATATCTTCTACTACATACCAGTTTGTTAAGATAAACACTTGTATTCATTAAATGTCGTGATGAAAATGCTGTGGCTAATACTAAATATTGTGCATATTGTTTTTCAGGTGGTATTTCAATGACACATATATCACGCATACGTTCATCGCGTAAAATTTCAATTAAATCGTCAAGATCAAATACACCCGTTTCGCCTCCTAAAATTCAAACGTTTATTTATTCTTATTTATTACAATCTTATAGTTAATTTTAAATAATATTAAACAATAGCACTTCTATTCAAGTGTCAACCTACTATCTTCAACATATAATAGAGCTTAATTATGAGAAATGAGAAAAGAAAGTATGGATATAGAACAACTACACTTGATATCTATGTACTTACTTACGTTCTGTATGATGTCTTAATTGTTCTTTGATAAGGGGTTTATCATCAAATTCTAATTTTTCAAATTCATATAATTCTTCAATTTCACGTTTTTTATCTTTTGATGTTGGTTGCGATGATGTTTTGTGTAAACCTTGTTGAATTTCTTCTAAAGAAAATTGATTGCCTGGGTGCAGTTTTACTTTTGGAGATTGCTGAGATATGAACGATGAAGATCGTTTTTCTACATCTTGCTCTTCGTCTTGATCGAAATTCTTTGGTGTTGATGCTGAATTAGACGATTGATTTAGAATAGATGTCGGATAAAATGAGCGTGTATAGTTTGTAGTGATCGCAGTACTAGCAAGTTTATTGAGTAATGAATATGTTTGTAGACATCGACTGAGTCTCATTTGGTCACTATAAAATCTGAAATAGAACAATAATCGCTATATAATACTTTTATATCTTATCAAAGAATATAAAGAGCGTGCAATACGAGCTGACATTGCAATGAATTCAATAGCTAATAGCACTTTCCTGTAATTTGTATCCACAATCTCAATTGAGTTTATAATATTATTTTGTAAGCTTTCGTTTATAGCCTTTACTACCAATATATGTCTAATATCTACTGATGGAGAATCACAATAATGAATACAAAAAAATGTGTGGAAAAGAAAATATAACAAAAAAAATTACTTTAAATACAATTTTTTACTAAAAAACGCCCTGATTAAAAAACCCAATCATTGCAGACGCTACAACTATTCGAATAATTATTGAGATATTCGCTGCTCTCTTTTCATTTTTCTCTTGCAACATTGTTATGAATATTCTCATTTTGAAAATATGAATTTTCTTGATGTTGACAAACACAACATTCTTTCAAAGACAACTGACATTTCATGTTTCCACTTTTGAAATAAATAAATGCTGTCAACGATCATTAACAGAAATGCGAAGACACTACGCGTTATAACCTGCACTAGATTTCACATTTTCTTCTATTAATCTTCATTTTCAGTTTGATGTATTTCTTTTGATAAATACACGAAAAAACAGGTTGGGACAACAGATGATAACATGAGTGTGAATTTTTCAATTTTTCAATTTTTTCCGCTCAAAACTACAGAAATAAGAAATTAATTTAGGGCTTTTCTTGTAAATTCTATAACTTCGTGGAATCAGCGTGGCCGATAACCTATAACCCACTAAGTTTCGATCAAAAAGTGATTAGACAGTTGGAAAAGGTCGCTCGTTTATCATAGAGTTTCAATGAATAGGATGTCTATATTTTGAAATTTAATAATTGAATATATAATAGATTTGTAGACAATATCTAAATATATATACAACGAAGGTTCGGACACTACAATCTTGTTTTTTATATCACTGAAATCATTTTTTCTAGATGTGCTTACTGTTACGCTCTAACTAAAATTTCTACAATTATTAAATTAGCAAGCAATTTAACAGTGTATCACTTTTTTGTTCAAAGTTTAGAGCTTTTAAACGCAAAAAAACTAAAACTTTTCTTCTCAAAAACGATATATTTATCAATAAAAGAGACAACTTCTTATCGATACTAAAGCCTTCAAATGAAATAGAACAACGCTGATTAAATTATGTCAGTTCAACAGAAAAGAGTGTCAAAAAGGAGTTACAAATCCTGGGTAACATGCGAACTATTTTAATATTTTAATCAAATGGAAATTGATCTTTACAAACCAGATGACTGAATAATGCATTAGTTAACTAAAACAACAAAACATATCTTTTCGGCACGTTTGATAATGTACACATGCCGATGTAAATACTCTCAGATACGATATCTGACTAACTGAGTAAAACATGTTTAGTGTAGTTAACAGATATGCAAACAGATTCGTTCTACTAGGTAAAAAAAGTAATCTGCCGACGTTTGTTTGTTTATTTAATCACTAATTCAACTTATTTTTAATGATAGATTCGCGAAAATATAACTAATATTGGCGTCGTCTTCTTTCAACATGTTTCTTTCTTAATCTAAAATTAAAAAGTCGTTGCTTCACTTAACAGAGTAATATCTATCGTTACAGAGTTTCCTAATGAGACACCAAATATTTCTTATGATTTTTGAACTGAAATCTCTTCCTTTAAATTCATCTATATATATCGCATTTAATACACAGTAAATTTAAACGTCTTTTTTTTTCTAATGCTTTGCTTTAATATCTTGTTATTTTTTTAAATATATCACCATAAAAATACATTTTTAAAACAATAATATATTCTGGTAGCGCTTGGAATTCTCTCTTACCCTGTATATTTAAGTATAAAGAACAAGGTTCTCCCTTTTGCAATCCTTTTTTACGGAAATAATAGCAGAAGAAAAAAGGTTCAAGTGGAAAAAAACACCAGATTTTCAAAGTTTTCATTTTTTTCGTCTTTCGTATAATTGGCGTAGTTTTGTTGTTTAACTTTCTGAAATTAAAGTGTAGGTATGGTTTTATAGAGTATTTCGCGGCGCATCTCTTTTAAGAAAAACATTAAACATTGGATCCTAAACAAACACAAGAAAAATAGAAAGTACTGAGAGATCGCATCCGTTATAATTTCTGGAAATGTGATAGGTGAGAAGCATTAACAATATTCAAAATTTTTACTAGCAAATAATTTCGAATACGTTCTGGGAACGCAGAGACTAATAGAGAATTTCAAGTCCTATCAGAATATACAATTATTTTTCTAAAATGTGTGTATATTCATAATAAATTCCAAAACACGACTAAAACTAATTTTTTTCCAAGGAGATATATATATATTCTTAAAATAGATTCTTTAAACTACATAAATGTGACTTGTTTTATCCGACAAAATTCTAATTCACTTATTCGTGTTATATTCTTTTAAACAACATAAATGTCTTCACCATAATAATCAGATAATCATGATTGAAATAATGAAAATTTTATTATTTACACATAACACAAGAACAGTAAACGTATACACAACGAGAAAAAAACAATATTTATATGAACGAATCTACTAGTGGGAGAAAAGAACAAGAGAAAAAAAACAGAATATTTTTAAAAAGAAAACAACTGTGAAAGATGCGCAACAACCTTAATTTTATAACTTGGTGTGAACTGAGATTGAAACATTGCACACACAATTCTTTTCAGCAATATACGATTGGATACAATTTTAATATAATCTACATCATAATGTAATACTTTCAAAGATCGAAAGAAACTAATAGATTAAAAAATATTCGATATAAACAACAATTTGCACTGAAACAGTTTAAAATTCTGTTATCGGCATTAAGTAAAACTAATATTTAGAAAATGAACAACAAAGATCTAACAACATATACACAAAAAAACAAAATGTTTTCATAATAATCGGCCACGACATTCTGTTGATCCACATGTACAGTCAATTCTTCTATTGGGTATAGTTCCAACTTCATAACGATAATCCCAACATAATTCTGTACCTGATTTAATAAATTTCGTTGCAAAAAAACCGATCCACGGAAAATGAATATCGTGTGTATCAACAAAAACATTTTGTACTTCAAGATTCGGCGAACATGAATGATTAAAATAACGTCCAATATTTCCAATTAATTTAGCATCTAATGTATAAACAATCCCATCATAATCTGGTAATTTACTTCGATTTAACGATATTGAACACGCCGTTGATGATTTTGTTGTTGTTGATTTTTTCTTATTTTTCGATACTGTTGTTGTTATTGTTGTTGTTGTTGTTGTTGCCAGTGCTCCAGTTGTTCCTTTTCGTATTAAATCACGTGCACGTAAATTTAACTGAGCACTTCTCAAACGAGAATTAACTAAAAGAACATGAATGTTTAAAATTTAGTTTTCTACAAAAATATCGGATATTTTTTTTTCGAGTAAAAAAAATATTTTTACCTGATTCAGTACTTGATGTTGACGTATCATCATTTAACCAATTTTGTTCAGATTCATCATTTCCATTTGATACTGTTGTTGTTGTTATTATTTCTGGTATATCTTCGTTATTATCATTTGTTTCTTCGTCTAATTCATCATCGCACTCATGTGTACTTCGACTATCATCATCATCATTATCAGAACTATTAAAATGTTCAAAAAAATCTAAATCAGCTTGATATTCATCACCCAATGTTTTTCCACGGCTATCCGCTTGTTCACTTGTAAGAATTTCACCTAAAAATAAAAAAATAAATAAATAATATGTCAATATTGGGTGTAAACACTATCATTTATTTACCAGAGTAGACGCTAATAAATGTACCACGAGGAACATCGTGTAAACAACGAACACCCCAACCACGATCAAACGTTTTGAATAACTGAAAAGAGAAAAAGTATATGAAATATTAATTTCTAAATTGTTCTCACATATTTACTTGCAGCTGCACAGCGATTCCGTTTTGCACAACACGATTCGTACACGATTTATTGTGACATTGACATCGATCGTTACATTCATAAATTCCAGATGATAAATTTTTAACAAGTCGACGATATTTATAGCCGATAGCATTAAGAATTTCTGCTTGTGTCTTATTTTTTTGTTTCATTGCTTTCACTCGTTCTTCACCAGCCAATTCAGCATATTTCAATGTTCGTAACCAACCTAAAATCAACGTAAAAAATATTTGAGAATTAGTCAAAATGTAAATCTTTATTTTTAGTTACATGCACATTTTGCACGATCTCGACAACTATCTTTACAATCACAACATGTCATTTTTTCATTATTTATTTGTAAATTGACACCAGTCGTTGGTATTCTTTCCACAGAATAAACAAATTCTTTTGGACCTATTTTTGCATGATCAACTTCATTCACAACAGTTATCGGTGAGTTTTCTTTCCCTTTTGATAGATCATCGGTGATTTCAAAACCATTGTGAATATAATGTAATTGGATATTTGTTGTACGATCATAAATGAACAAATCAGTTGTCAGTTTAGATTCTGTTACATACAAATAATTATCAACTTGTGATAAGTCACGCAGAATTTTACCACCTAGAACAATAAAATGAAAATAAGTACTAATAGGAAAGATCTATAAGAACTATTGCGCTTCATTAATATTGCGACATCATATTTATTCTATTAAACATTTATTATAAATACGAAACTAAACCACTTACATGGTGTACAATAGAGATAGGGTGTCGATGAGGGTCTCACTGTAACATCACCAGACTTTTTTAAACGAAATGGTTCGATCATTGTCCAATGACATGCAAACGGTTTTAAAAATGGATTGATCTTTAAATATTTATCATATTCTCGTTCAGCTAATTCAACACATGTTGATGAACAAACATGTTTTGTGTAGATAACAGCATTATTTTGTTGAAACTGTTTTGCTAGTTCAGTAAACATTGGGTTCACACAAATATTTTTCGATTGTAGTGTATGATGGTGGTGATGATGTCCATTAGTCTGTAATTGAAATATACAAAAACATGTCTTAATAAGTAAAAGAAACAAACAAGGCAAACAAAAATGTGCTCTATGTTTTTTAAAGACTCTGCTTTAGAACGCCATGCATCTTATGAAGTGTCCGACCGACTTTTTGCGACAAGCGTTCAAATAGGGTTTATTATTGATGCTAATCACGAATCTAATATTCGTTTTTCTTCCATATGCCTGTCAAGTACCGTCTTGCAGAAACGAGAGTTTTATGGACTCAGACAAAAAAACTTCGAGTCAAAACATTCTGATACAACAAGTAAATATACTTAGACCTATCGAACAAGTTTTAAGCATGAAATAAAAATTTTACATCCAGTGCTTACTGAATATCGGAAATATGAGGGCTTATTTTGAAGAAAAATCTTTAATTCTTGTTGAGAACTTGTGCAGTAGCTCTATACATTATTCGGTACAGTCGAATACTTTATTACGCATCTGAAGAGAGAATATATAAAGACAGTTTTAGCAGTCTATCTTCGGGTTCAAGTTTAAGGCTCAGCCACCAACACGACTCCTTTATAACAATGTTAAATAGCAGCGATAGTTTCAAAAACTTTCTATGTCCAACGTCTATGTTTACTTGTATAATTTGTTGATGAACTGTTGTTGTAGAGGCTCCTAAGCTTGGTTCTGATTCATAACGTTGATAAGTCGATGAAGAGGCTGCTACTGGAATAGTTGAAGAGGTGGCAGGTAAATCTTGTACTTGTAATAGACGAAAACCATCGGCTATATCACTGGAATTTGTTGCTGGATTATTCGTTTGATTTTGGCGTGGACGTAAACGAGACAAGGGTTTCTTGTGATCATCGTTGTCAGTATGATCGCATGATAAACGAGGACGTTTTTCGGGAACTAGAAAAAAAGAATAAGAGTTGACTTTGTACTTTAACTCTGTTGACGAGTAGGCTGCTTGTTTTCTCAGTTCTGATGCTTCTGTCTCGTTTACTTACATGATGTACGTTTTTAACTCTTACTTGTTTCTGTTTCATCATTTGAATGCGTCACTTTTGATTTTAAATCATTCTGAAGTTTTACTGGTGATTGTCGTGGTGTCGATAATTGGTCATTCGACGATGTTGAAGATGATGAACTGTAATATTTTTGTAATGTTGGTTGTCGTAAAGGTGCTACATTGCCGCGAATTGAATCATTAAGACAAATAATTTCCGGAGCATTTGATCGTCGTGTAGACAGATGTTGTCTTGCTGAATGTCTGGATGGTGCTTGTTGATATTGTTTCGAATAATAGTGGTTTAATTGTTCAAATAGGATCGAGCCACGATATAATGACAATTTTTGGCCAGACGATTGAAACTGAACAGTCATCATTGAACTATCGATATGATCAACTTTAGCTGTTTGATATGATTGTTTTTTAGCTGGTGTTGACAAACCGGGTGTAAGAATATTTTTCACCTTTATTGTTTGACCAATCTTTGTACGCAACATTGTACGCTCAGGATAAGATTGAAAATAACGTTCTTAAAACAGAAAAATGATGGACTGATGAGCAGAATAAAAAAAATGTCTTTGAATGGTGACCTACCTAAAAAGTCATAAGCTAGTTTGGATAAATGTTGTTTACATTCTTGTAAATGCTGGCTTAAATTTTGATCCAAACATAAATAAATTTCTTGTGATAAATGATATTTCGATGAAATATTTGAATCATCATAGAACACAAGACAACGAAAACCATTTGATGTTGATGGTGGTTCAGCAATGAAACCGTATCTATGAATAGGTACTGATAACGTTTTATCCAAAACACATGCACGATATTTCGGTGGTATAATGGCATTTGCGTCACATGGTTTAGCAAAATATAAATATTTTGTAGGAATATCATAGACTAAATTTGTATCGGGATCTTTGATCTAACAAAAGAGAAAACAAATCAAATGTGATAAGTTCATCCTCAATCTTCTTGTAAACAAGCAGTTGAACGTACACTAATCGTTTGAGCATTAGGTAAATCACCAACAAATTTATTAACGATTCCACGCTCTGAATATTGTTGTTGAGTTGAATCTTGGCTGACATGTTTTCTAATATGAAGTTCACTATTGACATGGAGCATAAACGGATGTTTGTACGGCGCATAAGTTGAACGATTTGATTTTAAAGTTGTTGATGGTACATGAACAACATCTTCATTCACAGGTGAATAGTTGGTATTATCCTAAACAATGAATCAGTCATTATTTCAGTCTGCAAATTCTCATTAGTATCCAAGTGATGCTGTCTCTAAAATCATACCATTTTGTCATATTCATTTAATATTTCTAAAATTTTTTCTATTTTTCCCTTAACTATAAATTCTAATTCTTGAATGATTTTTGAAAAGTAACGTAATTCAAAGCATTGTTTTAAATCTTCAATTAGCTGATTTAATTTATTTTCAATAATAAATGAATGATGTTGTTGTTGTGAAATAGCTGTGGCATGTATGGATTTTTGGTATTGTTGAGACAATAAATCATCAAATTCAAAATAACGTCGACTACACAATTGAGCAAACTGAATTATCCATTGGACAGTTTTACTACCGCAACCACTATTTTCACTAACACTAGCATAAAACAATGAACGATAATCGTCAACATTTAGCAAATTAAATAAACATAATAAGATTTGTTCAACAGAATTTGACTGGCGTAATTTTTCTATAAAAATAAATGCATATGCAATTGTAACAGAGTGCCTTCAATTAAATGCATAATTGGTCAATAAGTGACCATTATCGATTTGGTGACTATAAATATGTAAGGTCAGAAATAGTGGCGGTACATCCCTCAAATAATTAAAAAAGTTATTCATGTTTTTTCATTCTACCTCAGAGAACTTCCTTTTCATTAATTTCACACTACCGAGAGGAATCCTCTTTAATGATCGTCCAATAGTCGACTCCTGTTGGCGGTCCTGATAACAGATGAAAATAGCATACCTAAATATTGTTGTTCTTCTCGAAATGGTTGTAGTACTTCTTTTCGTACTCTAAAAGAAAAATGATTAATATATCATATAAATTTGGGATATTATGCTAGATATTAAATCGGGATACTACTGCTTCTATTTGCAATATTTCATCAAAGAATATTGGATAGTAGAAAGAGAATAAATCGTTACTTACTTATCACGAGCACTTGGTTGTGCACCACAAATCACCTGTCTGTTCATTAAGACCATGTCACATACACATGGAAACGTTAATTTTAATGTAAATGCTAATCTAAATAAACAATAATCAGACGAATAACTGCAAAAAAATAAGAACTCATTCGGCAGAAAAACTTGTTAAGCGCTGCTAATACAAGATGAGCGTAACGCAAGTCAGTGGTATTAAGCGTCTGTGGTTGATTATAGCAGGAAAGAAAAGAATTAGTTCTTCTGTCTCAACTTTCTTAAATGTCAAATAAATAGAATTGATATACTATTATATGTAAGAAGATAGTGAAATCTTCAAATCATATTTGTCAACTGTTCTTCCACATCAGGAATAATCGATATTTGTTGATCGATATTTTTGTATTTTTAAATAAAAAATAAAGCGAACAAAAACAAACACAGAAATAAAGAAAAAAAAAACTTTAAAAAAAAACATCTTAATTACACATGATCAAAAATGAAAATGAAAAAAAACTTTTTATTACTCTTGGCTTCTATATGAAGATATATATATACATGTAAAAATCGAAGCAAAAAAACAGAGATGTACACGTGATAAAAAGAATTTAACATAAAAAGAAACAATACATACATACAAAACACAAAATTAAAGTCACAAACACACTATTCTAGTGTATGTAGAGACATTATTGCAAAAGAAAATTTGAACAAAAGAAAATCTAATATTTTCCTTGTCTTTTTAATTAGAGAACATTGCA